ATGAAAACCCTGAGCAAGAGATTTGGTCATAGAGGTCGCGTGAGGCTCCCTGGATTGTGACGACGGAACCATTGAAATCCATGGTGGGAATCATTGCAAGATATGATTGAATTTCGTAGACAGTGGTCTTTCTGCATCTTTTCAATTTTTGTAAACATAGTCTACCATAATACTCCATGTTCTCTCCTTTTCTACTTTTAACTTTCCAATCTTTCTTTTTCATATTCATTCAGATGGGCAGCCAAAAGACAGTAACCGAAACTGGTGAACGGAAATGCATGGTGATTCTTTGAACCTACTGAAAACTTACCAAGATTTTAAGGAAGTTTAAGGCCTTTCAAAAGTTTATATAGTGCTCGGTATTTTTCCTTGTTTATACCGATGGATCTAGGGGCTGACGTCTCCACTTCATTAAAACTATTGAAGGTTATAGTTTAAACCGATTGGGACTGACTTCAGGTTCATATCTCAAAGCGAATCTCATTGCAAGAATAAACAGCCTTATTTGGTCATCTACGGCACTATGCATCAGAGATCCTAAATCTTGCCTCGGTTTCTCATTACAGCGGACACAAACAGCTGTGTAATATAAATAATCCTTCACAAAGCCTATTAGGGTGTAGAGGTATGATATAAATTTAAGGTTACAATAGAAAGGACCAAAAAAGGGGAAACCATGCAGTGCTGTGTGATACATCTGGAGACGGTTGGAGTTTCTTTAGCCGGTGTTATCTTGACCAAACGTAAGTAAACAAACAAAAGTGGTCTGACTACCAATAGATTTAATTATTGTAATGAAAGTAATGTTTTCCAATACCCAGGCCGAGGAGGAGGAATTCCTTCAGGAATTTTACCTTTGATCAGCATAAACCTAATCTGCTAGGCAGCACTAATGTCGGGTGCTGGGTTTCATGAATGCTGGTGATCAAGATAGTTTGTATGTAATTTATACTCTAAGAAGCCCAGAAAATATGAACCTCGAATTGACCATAGGCTCAAAATCGATGTGGTTTTCAGGGGTCATTCATAGTGACCCTTTCCACAATGCTGTACTTGATTTTATATGGTTTTCGATAGGAATCTGTTGACCAACTTTAAATCCACCGCACCGTTTTAGTGTAGTCGTTGTTTATTTGCATACTTTTGCGTCTCGGAAAGACACAGTTTATTCGCATCAGATCTCCTTTAACGCATACATAAACCAACCACAGAGATGCACTTTATAGTATTTAGCTGTTTATTGCGTGGCATTCATTCATGCAAGTGCTTTATATGCTCCGACAGACATATATCACTTAGGCAAAAGACCTGACTCTTGTCAACGACCAAGGCATATGGTGCTAAGGATATCTAAAACAAAGCAATTAGGTTAAAACGAGCTACTATTTGGGCTGAAAAAACGGCTGTTCACTACAATGTGGTCAATTTGGGTCAGGTTAAACACAGATTTGGAGCAACATATCGTCATTCATCGGGAACTAGATTGGAATTAGTTAAAAGACAAACTCAAACAATTCTCTATGCAAATCGTAAGTTGCCAAACGTAGTTACCTGTGGAAAACATAACGTTTGAAGTTGCTTACCTTTATAAAGCTGCATCATTTAGAAGTAACTAATAATCGAGAATCGAGATGGTATGTGAAGCTCCAGTGTTGCCATTCATTACCATTCGTTCTGTTTCATTTAACTCCTTCACTGAACAATCAAATGGTCAGACAAATAATAAAAAACCAGAGCATCGAAGTGCAAGGTTTACAGTACGCAAGCTAAATGGAACAATAATCACTTTGCAGTGTTTCGCTAGATGAACTTCATTGTCTCCTCGTGTGTAAATGAAGTGTCTCGTTGCAGTTAAGTGACTTATTTCTCTTGTAACTTTAATTTGTGCCTCGGAAAAGTGATCATTAGATATGAAGTTATTTTGGTCAATTTATTACCGATAACGTTTTGCTTTTGTTGAAACACGTTCTTTGTATTTGGATAAACTATTTTGAAAAAGTATTCACTTTGGCGTTATTCATTTCCAAACATTTGTCAATCACTTCATTTTCTTCTTGTGCTTAATTAAGGCAATGTAGGTCATATCGTTAATACCGCCCAAATATAGATCACGGAAGTTGAATTATATATCCGGTAGTAACCCTCCCTGGCTGAGTTAACCTCCTCTGGCTCTTAAATGAAATCCTACAATGAAAAATCAATTGGTAGTGCTCAACCCTTACGTTGATTTTTAGGTCGTTGCTACATATACACAGGCATGATTTCACATTCGGGGCAAAAAGAATAATAATAACTATTGGCATTTTATATTTTTGGTATAAGTCTATCAAACGGTTCGAGATTATATAAAGGTTATTATTTAAGGCATATAATTTATGAGACAAACTTATTTTTTCTCTATTGATTGGTTGGTACAAGATATTTTTGAGATTGAAAAAAGTAAATCACTGTCTCATGGAATTGTGGAAATTGATAATCGTTAAGGTCATGTTGTGAAGTGCATCAACCCCTGTTCGTGTTTTTTCTACTAATAAATCAACGGTGTTTAAGGCGATCGTAGAAAGTAATACAATTAAAGGAACATTAGAGTTTTGCTTAAAACGTTTTTAAACTAAATAGAATTCATTTTACACATAACCAATTGTTTTGGTGTGCGTCTGCCTCTAACAGTTTGGGCATATGTTGTCCTTGCTAAACCTCAGCAAATCAAAGTTTGGTAAACGAAACGAGCGGCTTTTTGATAAATTTGTCAACTGATGCATTCCAATAATAAACAGTTTATTTGTAATGTTTCATCTGATTTCGATCGCCTCAAACGGTGTACAGATAATATGCTATGCTTGGTCATCTCCGGTAGGTCAATAATTTATCCCCCGGGGGAGCATTATGGAACTTTTTCACCACATACCATTGCAAAGCAAAAGCTCGAACAAGGTACTTCTGGGTTTATAGGGGACTCAATGTTTGGAGCGAGCTACATTGGCAGAAGTATAAAGCGACTGACACAAGAAGCGTCTGAACCATCCCGGTTGACTGAAACACAGCAAAACTTTAAACACAAATTGCTTTCCGCCAACAAATGTGGAAGACACGGTACTCAGTGAAGATCGATCAAGTTTTCAGCATCTTTTATTAAAGGCTATCCTCGCTGACAAAACAGCCTTGTGCTATCATTCTATTTACTGCCGAGGAGATTGTAATCTAAACAGGATATTTTGTACCGTTCAACAAATATGAATAAATTGGACTAAACATTATCAGAAATTGCTGATCTACTTTCCAAGTCAATGTTATGCGAATAGATTACGTTATTGACAATATATCTTGTAAATGCATCGACTATTTCTTGGAATGCTTATAAAACCTTCTATAAAAAATTGAACTAATCCTTAGAGTGAACTCATTAAAGGTCATTACCAGTGCCAAATAAATGTTACTAATATTAAATAATACATCCTCTAGCTCACTATCACGCCGAACTTAGAGGAAACGTTTTTTTACTTCAGGTTCATATAATTGTGTTTGATATTAATCTGCAAAGATTAGATGCTCAGAATTACAGGATTTGCCTCATGTGCTCTTCATCCCAAAGGGGTTCCTCCAAAAGCCTCGTGAGATGATTTTATACGACCAAATGTCTCAATCAGCATTTGCTCAAAAAACCCTACGCAGTTTTTTCATGTGGTGCAGGTTTTTTTCAACCAACAAGAGAGAACGGAAAATCAAACATTCGAAACCATAACTGACCCGATGAATCACTAGCAATTCATATGTGACAATTAAAAAGAGCCTATATATTTACCCCCAGTTTGTGAGCAAGCATGATGCTAAGGCCGCAAAACATCAACCACAGAGAGGGGATGAACCACATCTTCCTTGTTTTGGTAGCGGTCGCCGACTAGTTTGAGACGTACTGAATGGGTGTATTATCCGATTAACTGATTAATAGGCCGTCAATAAGGTATAACGTGGCCCTGCTGCTTTATGGGTCAGGCTTTTGCTGCCCAAAAGCTCCAGTCATGAATCCTCCAAGAAAAATAGCCTGCTTTTGGTTCAGGAAACAGTGCGGGCTATGAAAATGGTAATACATAATATCAAAAAATGAGAAAGTTCATGGGAAACCCCCCAAGTTATTTGTTGATTACAAATAAAGGAAAATCCAAATACCTTGATAAAAAGCAGTTAAACGTGTGTAGGTTTATTCCATTTACGGAAAAAGTTGAGCAACTAACTTATATCGATTTCATAAACTAACAAGACTCGAGGGCCACCGTTGTTTTAAGAAAAGTCATTTTAATTTCAATCATATTTGTATTCAGCACAATAGCACATGGGTTGTTTCAATAGGTCACACGATGATATGTATGGTTTGGAGAGACAGAAGGAATAATGCTGACAGGTGTAAAAAAGTGATTGCAGAAAGCTGATGGTTATAAGTTTTGAACACCAGGTGAATAAAACGAACAAATTATAGCTATTTATTTGTTAGTTATCGGTCACGCAGAAGTGTTAAAAATTCTAGATTGCAAAGTAAATAGGTTATGTATTGTTAGCCGTTGTGGAATTTGAAAAGAATAGAAAAGGAAATTTATCAGTTGGTATTCAAAAAATGTTGAAGAATGATCATTCAATTTCATACTAATCTTTTTGTCTTGTTTATACTAATATCACATTTGATCTTCAGGAAGCTATCTTACAATGTCTTTAACAATGACAACAGTAATTACTTTACTTTACTTTTGCTTCGTGTAACAAAATATTTTGATTAAAAGTAAAAGTTTTTATTTTTTCAACCATAACCATGCACTTTTGTGTCCGGGTTTTGGTTGCTGGCTCGTGACTTCCCGTTTGAATGAAAAAGTAAATGGAAGATTGGAATGTCTTTTGCAAAAAGCTAAGGTGGAACAATTGATAGATATAAAAAATCTTTCACAGAAGTTCATCATTCCGCATCAAGAAATACTAACAACTATGAAATATTTCCAGCATTCCATAATGATTTACATACCTTCATAATTCAGTCTTCCATCTCGATCAATATCCACTGATCGTAGAATGGCCTCGGTTTCTTGATGCGTCAGGTTCTTACGATATTTATACAAAACCGATCTGAAAAGTGATAAAAATCATTTTACACGTGGAATTGCATTGAAATACTGAACTGTCTAGATACCACCCAAGAAACCCAACCTGACCTGGTTGCCAGTTACTTTAATCAAACATTTGAGATGTAGCCAAATAAGCGCTTTCACTCTATAAGAGCTAGGGTGACGTGGTATGAATAATTCCTCCGTTTGTTTCAAAAATATTTTTTCAATAATAATTTCCTTCGGATCTGTTCTCTCACCTAGGACGTGAGAGTTCGAAAAACTACATTTTATGGCTTGCCATGTTTACTCTCTTGACTGCAAAACTGTGGCATTGCATTGGTAATCCGTGTTCGAATTCTATGGTAAATCATATATTAGGAGAAGTGTCAGAGGTTAACCCTCCAACGGCATCAGCCAGGAAGTTCAGTTAGGAATGAGCATCACAGTGTCAAAAACGACTGACATCGACCAAATAGTTCGTGGGTAGTAAGCCGAAGTTACCACCTGAGTAAAATAAAAACTAGGGATAAACATTGGTGGTACATTGCGAAGGCGAAATCGCATTCTAACAAAGACCAAGATCATCAAGTCACTAAAAATCAGTACTGTGGTATTTTATCGACCCTATGATAGCATTCGCTTAGTTTCAGAACGTATATATATATATATATAGTAGAACAAATTTAAGAAATATTATAATGTTCCCATAGTCTCATTTGAGCCGTATCGGAGTTCCATTGGAGTCCTTTTAGAGTTCCTAACGAGTACCATTGTGGAACCCTTTTGGTTGCAAGCTTACTATAATGGGCTATATGTATGGACTGCGGTAATACTTTCAGTTTGCTTCAGTAAACGCAGTTGCCTGTGTAATACACAATAAAAGTATGTTTAAGTGCCACTGAATGATGATACTCAACGTACATCTGAAACAAACGGTACGCTATATAGTGATTCAAATAGAATAATCGGAGTGGCTATAGCCACTTTATTCTATTCCATTTGTTATAGTTCATCTCTGACACACAGGAAGTTGATTTCTTTGGATTTAACCAACTATAAAACATGCAATTGTATACTGAATACGTACGTACGTTCAATATGTTTAGGGAATATGCAAATGCTAAAAAAATACACATGCGGGCACTCTTGTGGATTAAACAGGTGAAATAAACGAATCAAAATTATTCAGTGACTAACCGCAGCTCTTCAGGTGAAATGTATCCATCACCATTCCTGTCGAAGAACTGGAATGCGATTCTCAAGTGCGCATCTGTTTCGGCGTGGCGCTGCTTTTGAACCATCATTGCGATGAACTCTGGGAAGCTTATTGTTCCGGATTCTAAATTCAAATGCCGTATAATTGAATGGATCTTACTGTCGAAATCGACTTTTCGAATCATCTCTCGCACCTCAGCATCTGATGGTTTATAACCCAAACGCCACATAACACCTTTGAGTTCAGCTGCGTCGATTTGGCCATCTCCATTCTGATCGTAAATGGAGAAAGCGCGTCTGAGGGCTTCCAGGTCTTCACGCGAAAGACGATGTACCTGTTACAATTGAAATTACTAACTCAAACTATAAACGTACCATTTTGTCAACGGTCACGCAGAAACTACCGTCACAACTCAAAAAAACACCTAATTAAGCTTTGTCTTATTCATAAAAACAAATGATTTTATATGAACCATTGCCGCCGCACTTTGTGTCACAGAATCAAAAATAACAATCCATTCGTACTTCCGTGAAATTCGCTCACACATTAGTGTTTTTCATTTTAAATTGTTTTTCTTTGGTTTAGTTGAGTTCAGTTCAGTTCAGTTTGCACAGGACGATGTGTGGCCCGGGCCAATCTTGCGTCCAGATTGATGTGTTGTTGGCTTTTCTTGTGGCTTTCAACACTGCGAGTCAATAGGTTTTTTTTCTCAAAGGCAGAAAGTAAGGTGCAGTATCACGTCCTGGGCAATGGTGCTCAGGACTAATAGGTTCTTACCATCAAACTGTTTCAGGGAAGGTAGAAGACCAACAGTCATCTAATGTCCTCTTGAAGGCGATGAGGTTCGAGCAACTTACCACCTTTTCTGGTAGACTATTCCAGATAAGGTATTACGCGACTTGTGAAGAACTTGGCTCGAATGTCCAGCCTTACAAGACTACGT